TTCCCTACAGAAGGAAAACAATTATTAGAAAAGAGAAAAAAAAAGGCAAGGAACCCAAATTCAAGAGGTAGAAGCTAATTGCAAATTTGCAAAGCCAAAACAGTGTCATAAAAACTACTACCTAAATTTTAGATGCACAATTCCTAACACATCCAATAAACAATGATCAGACGAAAAACTCTATTTTGACACATTAAGATCAATTCCAATATTTCACTATACTCTCGAAGATATAAAACAAAATGGAACAAAGGTCATACATGTGTATACCGATAGATAATCTGTTTTCTTGAGCTGAAGAGAAAGGTCATTTAACTATAATCCTAATCCCAAGATCATCTGTCAGGAGCAGATAGTTACTTTCAACTTTGGGTAGAAATTTCTCATGGGTATGCATAGTTCATGTTTAACAAACAAGTAGTTTCTTAATTTAAAAGAAATAAGAGAAGGAAAAGTTGAATCAGTTATTCTTTAAAGGATATTATATAGAATCAAGCAAAACATCTACTAACAAATCAAACAAAGGCTTCCAAAAAATACAAAATTTAAAGAAATTAGGATATTACTCGTAGAAATCATGTTACATGGTTAATAACAAGGGAGAGTCTCTCTGTGCTAACAATGCGTTACCTTGTGGTGAGTTTCAAGAAACTTAATAACTTCTTCCATATGGTTGCGATAGAAACCCTGCATTAAAGTTTCAAAAGGATATTGGTCAGATCCGCTTAAAGCAGATACAGGAGCAACATTCGTGCGCATATTTTACCGGCTCACCTCAACATATCCAAAAAATCCAGAACTCATATCACCAGCAGGGAACCCCATCGCAATTACGTTCTCTGTTATGTATGTCAAATCCAAATCAAATCCTCCTTCCTGAACCAAAATTCAACAGAAAGAAACACCAGGTATCAGATAGGGAAGCCACAACGGATGATAATACAGAAGAAGTAAATAATTTCTAGGTTAAAACTTTCAAGATTATGTACAACTGAAAGATTTTCTGAAGATGAATAGTGTTTCGGCTGATAAAAGAAATGAAACCAAGAAAAAGGTTCATACATACAATTTTATGAAATACGCCCTACGTCTTTGCAAATGCCACAAGAAAAACACACCATGTCACATCAAACCCAAATATGCCATCATTAGTTTTGCAGTAACAAGCATTAAACAAACTGAATGATGACCAGTTCATCAATACACATAATGACATAAATGACTAGCAAGCTAACAATCACCACGGCCAACACAATATGGAAAAATAAGGCAGCATCTAAATGGAACTCCCTAACACAAACAGCTCAATTCACAAAAAGAGAGTTAAAGTTGAAGTAAAATAAGGGGACCCATCAAAAGAAAAATGTTTATAAAACCTGAATCAATCAAACTGTCTAAAACTAATGAATAACTTTATCCGTTAAATGAACCTGGTATCTTCTTTTGTTCTGGGATACAACATGTCGAGCCTTGACCTGTACAGCCTTCACAGCACTCCTCGATGAATCAACCAAACCTTTAGTAATTGTCCCAATGAAACCAGACTGTGCTGCATTCGAAGTCCCTTCATTGCTTTCATCTGACTGGGGAGATTTAGGAGATAAACGAAGCCCTAACCCACTTGTAAACCTTGCAAAGGTTGACTTCTCAGAACTTAAAACCTCGGAGTCATTTCGTGGGGAAGAAAATGGCTGGGTCACTCGCAAATTTTTGGCCCATGTTGATAACCCAGAAGCAGAGAGTTTTGACGTTGCCTCTCCAGGCGAATTATTGCTTCCAGCTTCAAGCGCAGCAGAAGGCTGACCATCGGATGCTCCAGAAGCCATATTTGATGAATTTTGATCTAGAATCCAAAAATGTGAAATATCAAACCTGCATATTCCCCTATCTGCAATCATCAGAATCGAATAAAATATACTGACTACAAACTTATTAAACCTATGCACCCAAGTTTGACAAAGTCATAGTAACAGAAACTTGATCATGCAAATCAAGCGCAAACAAGGAGAATCGATTCCAGTGCAAAAAACCATCCTTAACACCGAGTAGATCACTTAAATTTACATCAAACTTAAATACACTAATCATCTCACTGCAAGACACCAACTAACACTAAGTATCCTGAAACTACAAAGTCCTCTTGAATGTAAGGAAAACAACAAGCTTGAACAAGTTAAGTACAAATCCTTCGGCGTACATGACAATGGAGCCAGTTTCAATAAACGGCCAAAACATACGAAACCCATTACGCAGATATCAACTTCAGCTTCCACAAAGAGCTCTCACATTCTAAACGTTAAATCAGATTGTGCAATGTGTTGCCAATTTATGCGAACCATCACAAAGCAAACATCATAAAAGAAGCAGAAGATGACATAAAAAAAAACACTAAAAACCAGCGAAATCCAAATTACAAACAGTAACGTCTACAATTTCACGAAATCGACGCAGAAAAGGGAATAACAGATCCACGACCAGTATCATCGGATTCTCAAAGGGAAAAACAGAGAGCACAGAAGCAAAATTAAGACCGCATAGATCGAAATGTCGGTCGAACCACACCTTTGAAAAACTCCGAAGTAATAGCGCGACGGATTCGAGGAAGATAAAATTCGAGCAAGTATACTGAATCGAAAAGCTAGGGCTTGAGGGGGAGGGGGAGCATTTCGCAGATCGTTTCACGAGAGAGTATGGTCAACAAAAACTCCTAGCCGTTGGATCGAGAGATACTTGTGACATGAACGGTGCCGATGGCTTATTAATATTTCAATCGGACAGAGAACAAAGCTAAAAAAGGAAAAACAAAACGGAGAAATCGTCGTCATCTATATAATTTATTTAAAAAGAAACTTTATTTTAAATTTTTTATAAAAAAATATAATAAAGAAAAAAGGAAAAATCCCAAAAAAATACTGAACTTTACAATTTTAACAAAAAAAACATTAAATTTTAGTTATTGTCAAATAAACATTAAACTTTTTAAAGGTGTATAAGAAAACACTGAACTTTTTAAATAATCTAAAAAATACATAAATTTTTCTGCGATTATCAAAAAAACACTGAACTTTTTTAGTGATCCAAAAAAATATATGAACTTTTTCTGATTATAAAAAAAAAAGGAAAAATCCCAAAAAAACACTGAACTTTTCAATTTTGACAAAAAAACACTGAACTTTATTTTTTATCAAATAAACATTAAACTTTTTAAGTTTGACAAAATAAACACTTAACTCTTCAACGATTGTCAAAATAAACAAAATGACTGATGTGGCACAATCAGATGCAAACACGTCAGATTATTTTTCTTAGTTTTTTTGACAATCAAAAAAAGTTCATGTATTTTTTCGGATCACTAAAAAAATTTAGTGTTTTTTTTTATAATCGGAGAAAAGTTCATGTATTTTTTGGATCACTTAAAAAGTTCAGTGTTTTTTTAGATTCGTTTAAAAAGTTTAATGTTTATTTGATAAAAAATAAAGTTCAATGTTTTTTTTTGTCTAAATTAAAAAGTTCAGTGTTTTTTTTGGATTTTCCCTAAACAAAACTAAGTAAAATAATCTGACATGTTTGCATCTAATTGGGCCACGTCATTCATTTTGTTTATTTTGACAATCGTAGAGGAGTTAAGTGTTTATTTTGTCAAATTTAAAAAGTTTAATGTTTATTTGATAAAATAAAAAGTTCGTATTTTTTTGTCAAAATTGCAAAGTTCAGTGTTTTTTTTTTTAGATTTTTCCAAGAAAAAATCATCGACTATGAGGTTATGTTTTTATTTTGACTTATTTGTTTTATTTTTTTATTTTTTGGTTTTGCATTATATAAAAAATACTATTCTTTTACTCTTTTGAATTTAACATATATATACTTCTATAGATATGACCTTATGAATAAAAATAAAAATATAGTGTTATCATATGTTGATCTCATTAATCATAACGTTAAGTTTACAGTGTAGAACATTAAGGGAATAACACACATACTCTCCAAATTCAGTCTCTACTCGGGGCTACACATCAACCCAGCCAAGTCAGAGATTTCCTTCAGTGGGTTAGTGTGGAACATGACTCGTCTATAGCTTCTGACCTGAATGTGAGAAGGGGTTCTCTCCCGGTGAGATATTTAGGAGTTTCCTTGAGCAGCTGTAGGCTTATGAAAGAGGACTTACACCCCCTAATAGACCGCATCAAGCAAAAACTGCAGAGCTGGTCCTCCAAAATGTTGTCTTATGCAGGTAAATTGCAGCTAATTGCATCAGTGATCTATGGTCTAGTTAACTCTTGGAATCAAATTTTCCTTCTACCAAGGTATTTCATCAGGCAAATTGACTCGCTTTGCTCAATGTTTCTCTGAAAACCGACACAATCGGCTACCTTCAGCTATAGGGTCTCATGGCAGACCATGTGTAAACCTAAAAAAGAAGGCGGGCTTGGTATCCGTCGTTTGGCAGACTATAATCAGATCTTCCGACTCAAACTGGTTTGGCTACTGATAACCAAATCTGACTCTCTATGGATTAAATGGACACGCCACAATATTTTCAAGGCTAGAGGCTATTGGGATACATCACCTGCACCTAGATTCTCTTGGAATCTGCGGAAACTTCTGGACATTAAGTACATAGCCCAACAGTTTGTCAAGATTCAGATCGGAAATGGGAATAATGCATTGTTCTGGTTCGACAATTGGACATCTCTAGGGCCTCTTCTTTCATTCATTGGAGAGTCGGGGCCGCGACTCTTGAACATTCCTAGACATTCGACCGTCAGTATAGCTGCAAATAATCAGGGTTGGACCCTTCCAGGGGCACAGACGGATAACATTCAAACCCTACACATGTTGTTATCCTCAGTATCGCCGCCATCAAGCTCCAGATGCGCGGACATCACTCTATGGAAATGGGGAGAGAATGACCACCGACCGATATTCTCATCCTCCAAAACGTGGTCACTCATCAGGGCCCGTGAACCAACAGTTCCCTGGCATGATATGGTATGGTTCAAGGGGTCTGTTCCGCGGCTATCCTTCCTGCTATGGCAAGCGATACAGAACAAGCTTCCCACTAAAGACAGGATCACTCGATGGAACCCGAATATCGACGTCAACTGTTGCTTATGTGGAGAGAACCCAGAATCACATAAACACTTATTTTTTAAATGCATGTACAACTCGAGGTTATGGCTTACCTTTGCCCATTATTGCTGACCGTCCCCCCGTTAGATCTATACTCCATTATTACTTGGTCGCAATTGCCAGGTAACGATAACACCAGGAGTAGACGGACTATAGTGAAGTTGATCATTCATGTCGCAGTCCATTTGCTATGGTAAGAACGCAACAACCGAGTGTTTCGGAGGGAAACGAAACAGGTGAAAAATTTGTGTGGCGATCTAGACCGCTACATCCGACAAGTGCTTCTGGCAAGGAGAATTGACGACTCATCTGATAGATGTTCCTTACTGCAGGATTGGTATTTTTTGGTTTCAAATCGTATGTAATCCTCTATAGCTCATGCTTTTCTCATATTTTGCCCTTTTGAGTATGGAAATTTCTTGACTTTTGTATAGTGTCCAGATTGGATGTAACAGACAATCTCGGTTTTGGTATAATACAAATCACATTGAAAAAAAAAGTTTATAGTGATCACACTGATTTATTATATTCATCCCTTACATATCTCACTAATTATTTGATAAAAATATTATAAATTACACGTTATGACCATGAGATCAACAAGTAATCAAACTATATTTCTCATCATATGGGTCACAGAGTTACAATTGGAAAACGATATGCTTGAAGTGAAAATAATAAAAAAAAGTATTGTTTTTATAATATCCCGGTTTGACATTTTAAGTTTTTGTATATTTGTAAATCCAAAAAAAAATAAAGTTTTTGATTTTTAATTGATTTTTTCACTAGTTTTTTTAAAACTAAAAAAACTAAATATATAAAATATTGATTGCCAAATTTTTTAGATTCTCAAAACTCTGAAAATCTCATCTATTTAATCAATTTGGATTCCGTTGATACAAACGGTGTTGGTGTTTTTCAACACATCGAGGTCATTGTGAATTTATATATTTACAATTTCTGAATCGTATGGATTTTTAGATCTCATCAATACAAAGAGGGTAGTATCTTGTTTTCTGATATTTATTCTATATACGTTCATGTTTTAGGGTTGAAATATTTTTGTTTTATCTTCTACTGAATAAATTTAAAACGAGATCCCTATATAATTATAATTATGAATCGCGTTGTAACAGTTCCACTATTTCTTAACCAAAATTGGATTAGATTTAAGCTTTGAATGAGAATGACTTTTATTTTGGGTTTCTCATTCTAGTTTTTGGATTTTTGTTTTTTGTTTTTTATTTTTAGATTCTATAATATTTGAAAACTCAAAAAAAAAAAATTCATTGATTTTTTCACTAAAATGATTTTTCAAATTTTTAGAAAAAGTAATTTTATAAAAATTTAAATCGTATTTTTTTTTTGTTTTTATATTCTAAACCCCCAAAACTCCAACCATTCAAGATTCTTAGTTTGATACACGTCTCTAATCATCTTTTGAGATTACTTTTAGGTTTGATTCATATATTGTTAAGGAGTCCTTAAATACCACAAACCCTAATCCAATACTACTTTTTTTATGGTTTCCGAGTGATTTTTTTACCAGCACCGAGCTTACAGGTAAGAGTGGATCTCCAGCTTCATTTATTTTCCCATCGATAGTTTAATATTACATGTACGTATTTTGGCGAATTTTGGTTTGAGAACTGCACACAACATAATCACGATGAAAAGGGTCTGGAATCTGATTCTAGGTTTACTCGACGGAAATAGTATTAGAAAATTAAGAATCCAGAATCTTAAACTGTACCCGTTTAGGATCGATTTATAACCTCGTTTGAAATCACTAGTTGAAAACGAACCAAATCCACTTTTCTACACAGACTTCTATTTATTTGAATATTTGATTAGTAATAACGGGAATTAAGAAAATAATTATTAAAATATTATGAGACAAATAAATAATAAAAAAATAATACAATAACCTTTTCACTTTCTAAAAATCAAAATAATATTTCAATGTGTCTCGTCAACTTCATTCAAGACAAATGCTTATAAAATAAAATAAAATCAGTTTGATATGTCTGGTGATCTATAACTGAAATTATTTATTCTAAGACAACATCTCAGAAACTGCAAGAAAGAGTCGCACTCCCATTTGGAGATCTGAAAAATGGGAGAGAGGGGGTAAGTTTTTAACCTTGGTGAGAAAAACTAACTAGACCCAAATATACAATTGGATTATCAAATCAAACTTAAGAATGTTTTACCAATTTAATTTGTAAATCAATCTTATAAATACATTTATTATTTCTCATACCAATTGAAGGTAAATCATATATTATGATACAAATTTTTTCCGATTTCTATTTTATATGGTTTCATACGTACAACCGAACGAACTACTATCAACTCATACGTTAACCCACACTACTTCATTCACCACAATCAGATCTCTCGGTATCGATGCCAACTCATGTGTTACCTCGCACGCCCGACACTGTTACTCGACTCTCGGCAAATACCAATTCACGCGTTTGCTGGTTTAGGTGCTCTATGTTGTTTTACAATATGAGTATCATGACATTTTGTATTGACAGTTCATGATTTTGGTTAAGTGAATGAATATCTTTTTCTTTATTCGTTTTGCATATTTGATGAATAAGAAAATCCATGGTTCGTTGTGAACGA